CCACCAGCCTCCACTGGGAGCTTGGGTGGCTGGGGGCCATGGCCAGCCTGCAAACAGCCATCAGTCCCTCACCCAGGCTGGCCAAGCCCCCCAGCAGGGACCCTCACCCCATGAGTGTGTGGCCATCCTGGGTGAGGGGCTGATGGCTGTTTGCAGGCTGGCCACAGCCTCCAGCAACCCAAGCTCCCAGTGAGGCTGGCTGGAAGCAGGTATCTGGGATTTATTTATCTTCTATAATTGAAACTTTGTTGCCTTGAGCAGAGGCCACAGCCGGCCAGGGCAGGCGGGAAGCTTGGCTTCCTCCATCGCCGGGGCAACCAAGCCTCCTGCTTGCTCTAGCTCTGTGGCTGTCCACTGCCATCTTGCTTGGGTTAATTTGCATATAGTCACTCTGATTGGCTGGTGGACGTGGCTTGGGGCGGAGCGAAGGTATAGTCAATTTGCATGTTTCTCTTTTATTAGATTAGATAAGACATCTCTACAATGCTACAATTCCTCTATATTTCTCTCTTCCATTTTCTACATATATCATAAATATAACTGTAAGAGAATGTTGGCATGCTTAATAACATTTATTTAAATGTCATATAAAAAGAGCACATATTCTCAAATAAGCAGGAAACTTCATGAAGGTAAACACTTTTTCACTGGTGTATACCCTTGATTGAACAAAGTGCCTGGTCCACAATTGGCACACAGTAAGTGCATGTTCAACAAATGGTAGGTACTGGTAATAAACTGGGATGTAGAAATGTAAATTCAGCAAAAAAAAAATACTCTGAAATATTAAATAAATAATTAAAAGGTTAAAATTAAATGTTGACATGGGAAAGTCAAGCTTATTTATGTATAAGGAAAGATAGTACAGTGGGGCCTTGACTTACGAGTTTAATTCATTCTGTGACGGAGCTCGTAACTCAAATTACTCGTATGTCAAATCAATTTTCACCATTACAATGACACGTGATGCTGGGCTGATGTTGTGGCGTTCACTGTGAAGTTCGCTGTGCCAACTAGCGGTGGGGTATCTGAAGCTGGCTTGTAACCCGAATTTTAGCTCACAACTCAAAGCAAAAAATCGGCCGAGAGACGGCTCGTATCTCGAAAAACTCATTAGTTGGGACACTCGTAATTCAAGGCCCCACTGTATATATTAAAAACACTTGATTGAGATTGTTAGAGAATTTAATTTAATTCAATTCAACAAATATTTATTGAGTTTCTTGTTAGATTGAATGAGCTTTGGAGACAGAAAAACTTGGGTACAAATTTAGTGTTTGGAGATTCAAAGAAGAGAGAAAGACATACACTTGATGGATTTCTATTAAAGATGATATTTGATATGAGCCTTAAAGAATGGCTGAGCTGTGAAAGATAGAGAAGGGATGGGGGTGAAATTCAGCAGCCTAAAAGGTAGAAGAGGTTTTTAATGTCAGGTTGTAACACTTCTCTAATTCAAATTGGCAACAAGGCCAGGGTGATTAGAATAATAATGGTTTCTTTTCAAATCAGAAAGTTAGAAATTTTAGGAAGAAAGAGACAATGATGAGTTTAGTGGGAAGCAAGCAGAGCTCCTGAGAGGGCTGTTCAGCAGAGCAGGCAGCTAAGAATATAAGGCAGGACTAGAAGGAGGTCTTTGGCTTTCTCTGCACATAAAGAAGATCTCTGTGGTACAGAATCAAGGGAATGGAAAGAACACACTTATGGGACTGGGAAAATCTATACTGAGGACATGACAGAAAGAAGGGCAGCTTATGAAAAACACTTAAGGGCCAGTGAGTTAGTGAAGAAGTACTATGGAGGATTTTGGAAGCTTGGCTTTAAATGCTATGCAAAAATCAAGGAATAGTAGAACAGAAAAAAATAACAACATTGCATTTAGACATTCAGAGATCTAAAATATGGGATAGATGTTAAAATACAATATAATTTTGACTATATATATGAGATATAGTATATGTCAGTGATGGCGAAACTATGACACGCGTGTCAGAAGTGACACACAAACTCATTTTTTTGGTTGATTTTTCTCTGTTAAATGGCATTTAAATATATAAAATAAATATCAAAAATATAAGTCTTTGTTTTACTATGGTTGCAAATATCAAAAAATTTCTATATGTGACACGGCACCAGAGTTAAGTTAGGGTTTTTCAAAATGCTGTCACGCCGAGCTCAAAAGGTTCGCCATCACTGGTATATGTGGTAGGCAGTTAGACAGACATGAGCAGAGCAAGGACAATGGGCCAGGTTCAGAAGCTCACCAGGGTGGAAAGCCCCAGATGCCTAGCAATGGGCAAAACTGGGAGAACAAGGACCGTGCCCCAGGGTGACCTTTCCTTCCTTAGCACATCACTGGTCATGCAGTTTAAACCCACCGACCTTCCATATCGCTGGTTGTGCAGTTCAGATCCTCTCTTGACCTTTCATATCACTGACCATGCGATTCACCCTCCCCTTACCTTTCCTCCCCTGGCATATTGCTAGTCATGTGGTTTTAGACCCCCTTAGAGGAGGAACAAGGGGCCAGAGAATAGCCTCATATGACTCCCATAAAAGCCCTTGCATGACCACTCCCTTAAGCAGGACAATGAAGTTCTGACTAGTATCAAGTAATCTTAGGATCAAAGCCTAGGGTCAAACTAGAGAAGACATTTAGGCCTCAGCTGTGTTTCAGCTCCATGCCCAGAAAAGCAGCAAAACCAGATGGAGAAACTCCATGGCTGACATCAGGACCAATGCAGTGACTAATTACTCCCTGCCCTGCCACTGACCAATCAGTGGAGACCATGAACCTGAAAGGACACCTAGAAACTGATGAATATTCATTGAGATCCTCCCCTGAGATCTTCCCTAAAATCCCTGCCTTTAAAAACTGTTAGAACTACTCAAGGTAAAGGAAACTAGCACAGGCTCTCAGGAGCACACCCATGCCTTTCTTCCCCCTTTCTCTGGCATGTGTATCTGCTTTCTTTCTCCTAAGCTCTAAGGATCCAGGTGAGACGTGCAACCTGGGGAGCAGTGGGCAGTGGCAGTTTGTCCTGGGCTTACCCCCTAAACCTGTCTCCAAGACTCCCTTTTCTCTGATTTTTCAGTGAGGTGACAGCAGCCCTACCATGGCTCACTTCTGTCTCTATGACTTTTATTTCTCAGTGAGTCCATGCAGCCCCATGTGTGGTTCACTTCTTTCATATAAAGTTTCTGGGGAACCAAAGCAGAGCACTGCCTAGGCTTTCTCCAGTTGCTTTTTTATGCTAAGCCCTTCTTGTTTCACTGCCCCTAGCTTTAATAAACATACACTCAAAATCACCTGGACTCATGTTGTGAAGTCTTTCCTGCACAAAGTCAAGAATCCACACACTATGGACCAGCCCAAGGCAGACCCGCTCCAGGACCAGTCCCTTTCCGGTGACAGTGTTTGAAAGAACGAGCTTAGGAAAGCTTGGGTTTCAATCCTTGCCTTAACTAGTTTTGAGCTTGGACACATGACTAGACAGCTCTGAATTTCAGTTTCCTCCTTTCTAAAGTGATGATCTAGATGTTTAACTTACTTAGTTGATGAAAATGTTAAATTAGACAATGTATGCA